TATATATATATATAAGAAATAGAGATATGGATTGAACGAAAATATCACAGACGAAAGAGAGATTGATTTCCTTCTCATTTCTCAACAAAGAAAGTTGGAATCCATGTCACTGCCATTCACCAAACCACTATTTCTTATTTATTTATTATTATTTTTATTTTTTCTCCCTCGAATTTAAGAATAAAAACGCATAAGGTTCGCCACAAAACTCCATCTTTCTACTTTGTGATGATGATCAAGATTCCTTGAAAAAATTGTTCTTTTTCTTTTCAAAAATAATTTTCAATTGAAATTGGCACCACCAATTTGGAATATATACCTATTTGTGTTATTTTATTTAATTTTGTTCTGCTCTGTTGCACAGTCAAAGATATTGCAACGTGCCATGTCTTTGTTTATCCTCGAATGGATATTTTTTTCTCAAAAATAAAATTAAGAATATTCCGCATCAAAGCCTATTTAATGACGTTATAAAACTGGTATTGGTCGATTTCATGTTATCTTGATATTGATCGGTCCATTGAATAAAAACTTTATTCTTATTCATTTCATTTCATTTCCTTTTTAACCTATACGAGAAATATTTATTTAAAATTAGTCACTCAAAATTTGGCTTCAAAACCGTATTCTAAATTACCAATGATTCATATATTTATCCAAGTTTGAGTGGCCTTATTGTAATAGAAAATACAAGACATAATTTTATCACATGTTGAAATCTAGATGCGGAGATATATATTTATCCACACTTCTCCGATCTTCTAAGAGATATTGTTGGACTAAACGTTTTGTAAACTTTCGTATTATAAAAAAAAATTCTCATATTTATTTTTAACATATGTTTTTAATTTTTTTTTATTTTTTACGTCTAATTTATCATTTCTAAATTTAGATATTCAATTGATTGATCTCTAATCGAAAACTAGATATTAGGTTGTTTAAATCTGATGTTTTGAGTATTTTCAAATTTAATTTCGTATCTACGAAAATTAACCAAAATAATATTCATATATTTATTGGATATTGTACTCTAAATTTCTATTCGATCAAATTTTCTGTTTTTATATAAAAAAAAATTGAATATTCACGAGCATTCAAAATCAAATTCGAATCTGAAAATATGTGTTGTTTTTAGTTTATAATTTTAAAAATATATTTGTAATATATCTTCATAAATATAAAAAAAAATACATTTTGATCTTTTCAGCTTTTATAAAATTTGGATATTTACCGATATCAAATTGTAAAAATTTGTAGACAAGCGAAAGATAATCTTCTTAATAAAAATCAAATTCAAACCCGAATTTCATCGTATAGGCAAATCTGAGTAATTCCAACCCTTGAAGATTTATTTTTCTACAAGTTCAACCATATAGATTAAGATTTCTTATATATTACAAACCTAGCTATGTATAATGTATTCAACTCAAAACGATTAATATACATACATATATATATATATATATGTATAAAGTAATCACTCTCTCTTATATTCATGCTAAGAATATACATGCATATGTGTACATACACACATATCATCCCATATTCATATATATACTCTCCATAATTAAAAGCTTAATTAGGCCTAATGTGGGCCTAATTATATCCTCCAATTTCGTAGGTATATTAGGTTTTTGTTGTTTATGACGTGATAAAAACCCATAAACAGTTAAGTGCTTCATCCACTCCCATGTATACAAGTCAGAGTGTAAGTAAGAATAATCCAGAAACTGCCCTATAAAAACCTAAATCTTTTAGGGTTGGAATTATTCGACAAACTGAATGCCACGTAGGACTATTCTTCCATATCCACTTATATATAACGTTTTTATTTAAATTTCAATCTCTCCACTTCACTTTCGTCGGTTATAAATACACATGTTGGGGTTTGTGTCTTAAAACATCATTTTGAGTATTGACAAATAAACCCTTTTGTACTCTCACTCTAATTATCTGATTAATCTCTCTCTTTTTTCTCCTCTCTCTCTGTTTGTGTTCTAATTATAATTATCCAATGGATTCACATAATAATGGCTCCATTGCTTTGGTTCTGAGTATTGTTTTCGTGTTCTTGGAGGTTGGGTCATGCGTTAGACAACATGGGTTTGATATGCCAAAGGAAATGGATTTGTCTGCTAACGGAGATCTTGTCACGAACTTGCCTGGACAACCCGACGTTCAATTCAAACATTACTCGGGTTATGTCACAGTCAACGAATCCAACGGTCGTGCTTTGTTCTACTGGTTTTTCGAGGCCATGGATCTCCCAAACGACAAACCTCTAGTCCTCTGGCTCAATGGAGGTAAAACCCTAAATAAACAAAAGTGATTATATTGATTCGTTTACATGTCCTAAGATGCGTGAAAACAAGAGAAAAAAAACGTGTGTTTGCTATGTTGTTGTTGTTGTTGTTGTTGTTGTCTAGTGAGGGGACACATCTAGGGTTTATAATTTATAAATGTATTATATTTATATATGTATATAGGTCCTGGTTGTTCTTCTGTGGGATATGGAGCAACACAAGAAATTGGTCCATTTCTCGTGGACACCACAGGAAACGGACTTAAATTTAATCCTTACGCATGGAACAAAGGTAAAGATTGTAACTTCACATCTAGTTTGCTTCTAGATTCATGCATTTGTGTACTCCACTACTTTTGACTATATATATATATATATGTATGTATGGTGTATGTATGTATCATAACGAGCAAAAGGGTATATTATAATTAATGTTGTTGCTGATGCAGAAGCCAACATGCTGTTTCTGGAATCTCCTGTTGGTGTTGGCTTTTCATATTCAAACACAACTAGTGATTATAAAAATCTTGGTGATGACTTTACAGGTAATTCACTCTTGTCCCTATATAGTTGTACAATAATATACATACTTTTCCCATACATATACATACATATATATATATATATGTATATACAATTAGTTCAATCCTTATGCATGTAACCACGCAGCACTTGCTTTATATGATATCAGCGAATGACGCTTACGTTTTCCTGCACAAATGGTTCGAGAGGTTCCCCTCTTACAAGAAAAGAACGTTCTATATCGCTGGAGAGAGCTATGCAGGTTAATAGACGATGAATCTCTGTTGCGTAGATTCCATGGTTTCAATTCAGAAGAAAAAAAAAATTGGATCTAGCGTTTTGATTCTCATTACGGGTTTGTGCAAACTTGTTAAAAAACTTTTGCAGGGAAGTATGTGCCTGAGTTAGCAGAGGTTATTTACGACAACAACAACAAGAACCCGTCTCTAAGAATCGACCTTCAAGGCATCTTGGTACGTAAGCAAAGAGGGTGTCTCGATCCAAGATTTGGATCCATCTTTGATGTGATTCTTTTTGTATGATATATATCGATCGATATAATCTTCGGATATTTCAGCTGGGCAATCCCGAGACGTCGGATGCTGAAGATTGGAGAGGATGGGTGGATTATGCGTGGAGTCACGCTGTGATTTCAGACGAAACGCACAGAGTGATAAGCAGAACCTGCAATTTCAGCAGCGACGATACGTGGAGTAACGACGAATGTAACCTAGCTGTGGAAGAAGTGCTGAAGCAGTACCACGAGATCGATATCTACAGCTTATACACGTCCGTTTGCATCGGCGATTCAGCACGTTCCGACGTTAAAGCTGCGCAATTTCAGATCAAACGCTCCTCCAAGATGGTATATATGTGAAAATACTGAATCTTCTTCGGGTCTGAAACTTGTTTTATCACGATTCACGTCAACGTTTTTGCGATATTATCCTTTTTGTTTTAATGGTAGATGCCGAGACTGATGGGTGGATACGACCCGTGTTTGGACGATTACGCTCGAGTATATTACAACAGACCGGATGTTCAGAAGGCTCTTCATGCAAGTGATGGTGTTAATCTCAGGAACTGGAGCATTTGCAAGTACTTGTCTTTTGTCTTTATATGAATGATTTCTTCGTTCACAAGTAATATATACGCTTGTCTGAATATAATCTCTGTTTTTTATCCGGGTTTTCCGGTCTTTTCGAGATTCAGCATGGAGATTTTCAGTAATTGGTCGGACTCCAAGCCATCTGTTTTGCCGATATATGAGAAACTCATCGCCGGAGGATTAAGAATATGGGTTTACAGGTATTAATGACAAATCTGTTGGTGAAAATGAATTCAGAGAACACATATTATACATCTCTACACGTTACACATTATGAAATGGATCTGAAACTTTGATTACAATAATTTCAATTCATGAGAGTTTACTTCCTATCCAAGAAGCTTCCCTCTCTCGTCATTCCATCCCTTTTGCTGTCTTTTCATTCCTCTGATTTCTCGTTCTGTTGTTTTCGGATTATGAAATCAGTGGAGACACAGACGGGAGAGTCCCGGTCCTTGCGACAAGATACAGCTTAAGTGCTCTTGAATTGCCCATCAAGGCAGCTTGGAGACCGTGGTATCACGAGAAACAGGTAACAAACAGGCAAGATCTAGTTGCTTAATTATTCAGAGATATGTTTCGGACAATGTTTTATAAATGGAAAGGTTTCCTTTTCTGGAAAACAGGTAAGTGGGTGGGTTCAAGAATACCAAGGCCTCACATTCGCAACGTTCAGAGGGGCAGGACATGCAGTCCCTTGCTTCAAACCGAGCAGTTCTCTCGCCTTTTTCTCGGCTTTTCTCAGCGGTGTGTCTCCGCCTTTATCCCGATAGAGAAGCAAATATATATTCGATGTTATAAAATCTCGAAGAAGAAAAAAAGTTACAAGATTTTGGTTTGGTTAACATGTTAACATGTCAAGAGGAACAAGAAGAAGCAAGGAGAAAGATGCAATGTTGCTTGATAAACAATATAATGAAAAGAAAAACCGTTGCTTAAATTTTGACGGTCCAATCAATTTTTTTTTTTTATAATTCGAAAGTTCACCGTACCTTAGCCCAATTAAATCTCCCTCAAAGATCGGATAAGTTCAAGGTGCCTTTTGGATTTATTACGATGAAACACAAAAGCAAACTATATATTACGATAACAAAACAGATTGACATATGATGTTCATATTTAACCTCAAAACACTGCATATATATCGTCAACGGAAAACAGAAATATTAGAGCATATATTAATTAATTAATTATGTAAACTTAAATTTGCATGAAATATTTCATGGATACAGAGAGAGAGAGAGTAACGTTTTCTGTGTTACACTTTCGATTAAAAGTGGAAGGGAAAAAAGACAAATGAAAAATGCAAAATAGCCTTTGTTCCACTTCAATTATTCGGTGGAGGTGATAGTCATAGTTGTAGTAAACCTATGTGGGTGTGTGTATATATATTACATGTGTATACCACGTACAAGAAAACATATGTATAGGTATATATGTATATATGCATTTCTTTTTATAGCCGAGAAAAGAAAAAGAAAAATATAGATATACAAGATCAGCAAAATATAAGTATTGTATATATGCATGCACGCATCTATATTTGTAAGTGTGTATATGTATATATGCATGCATTATGAGGTCCAATTAATGTTGGGAAGCTGAAACGCCTGTCTTAAAACTCCATGATGATGATGGTCAGCAAGAGACGAATCGATAACTCCATTTCCATGAAACCCTGAATTCTGAGGAATCTCACGAAGTAGAGACACAAAAGAGTTGTTGTTGTTGCTGTTGTTGTTGTCGTTGTCTTCTTCTTCGATGCTGTTGTTGTTGTTGTCGACGCCATTGTTGAGATCTCCATGAAACCTCTTGTTTTGTAAGGAAGACGATCCAAAAGACCCGGAATTAGTGTCACTAATCCAATACTGATGATCGTTATTAGACAGCGTGGGATTATTACGCTTGATCAAGGGAAGATGGTCCGACCCATTTGAGCTTGAAGATACCACCATAGTACTGCAGTCCATGAAGAAATGTTGTTCCTCGTTGTTGTCTAGCACCGACGAGGATGAATTCGCCGACGATTTTTGGTTTTGGTGATGAAGATTTTGAACTGTTGCTATCATGCCATCCATTAGATCCTCTCCTGCTCTTTGGTCCATTGGTCTATGTGACGTGTTTTTCTTGTAAATTCGGCATAGGACCCAATCGTCAAGCTGCGTTTATAATTCAAAAACCCCGTTTATGTAATCGACAACTAATTTTTTTTATCTAAATATTACGTAATATTATGGTAATATTGTAAAACATCTATATATATAATATCGAAATATAGCAAATTGGAGAAATGTACGCTTTGTGCATAAAACTATTTCTGAATCTAGAGTTAAACCAGCAAGCCACCATTCATATTTTGAGATCATTCTAGGACTATATAATATGCCGATTGTAACGTTTGTCTAAATATTCCGTAATATGATAACAATGTTGTAGAATAATTTCTACATATCAAATTGTGAAAAATTATGTTTTGTGCATAAAACCATTTCTTTGTGCTACTAATCTAGACCCTTTCATATATGTTACGAGATCATTCGAGGACTATATATATATAATATATCGATCTTGAATCGTGTATTTTGCGAAACCGATATTTCTTAACGTACCCGCAATGAGGATTTCTTAGAGGACGATAGGTCGGGTTTGGAGTTGGGAACGTCGCCATCGATAAGGCGGTATTCGTGCATGATCCAATTGGTTTTGATGCCTTTGGGAGGTTTGCCTCCATAGAAAACAAGGGCCTTCTTCACACCGACCTTGTGGTGGCTATTAGACGTTAAAATCGGTTTGTCGGTTCCGGTGGCTTTCCAATAACCGGACGTCGCAGCCCGGTTCGGTCTAGCTCCGTTCGGGTACTTTCTGTCTCTAGGGCTGAAGAAATACCACTCCTGTTCTCCAAATGTTGCCTTGCCTGCATTTATTACAACACATAAAAAGCAAATCTAAATCTCTATGTCATACACATATGTGTGTATATATATATATATACTGTGGTGGACTCAAAAAAAATTTCAAAGGGGCAACAATCATAAATATTATATGAAATACAAAAAACTAATAAATATATATCATCACAAAAATATTTTTTTACAGTTAAATTCTGCAGTTTTTCATTGTCTTTAAAAATCTATTCAAAACAATTTCATTTATAACTGTTTAAAATATATTTTTTTTTCTATAAAACAAACTAGCCACTCATTCAAAAACTGATCGTCAATTCGACTATGCAAAATTGTTTTATTAAGATTCAAAATTGCTATATAAATGATTAATTTTGTATTTATCTTGTTAAACGGATTATTAAAATTTTGATACTGTATAATTTCTTTTGAAAAATTTATGAATTGGTGTGTCTATTAAATCAAATCAATTATGAGATTTAGAGTTAAAAAAATGGAGAGGCACTTAAATTTTAGTGGGATATTATTATAATTTAATTAAAACTATAAATAATATTTCTTTTTTTAGATGTGAATGGGGCAAGTGCCCCACTTATACATAAGTAGGTCCGCCCATGTATGAACATGTCATGTCCGGATTGACTTAGGTTGATTTAAAGGGTATTGTGGTAATTTTACACGATAATATATCTAAGTTTATGGTACACACATTAAAATAAAAGGAAAATAAACTCAGTTTAACTTCTATCCACATGTACCCATGAGAGAAACTAGGGGTGGACCTAGGAGTGGTCATTTCGGTTATTAACCGAATAACCGAGCCGAACCGAACCGAATAAGACATAACCGTATCCGAACCGAATTCGACATTAAAACCGAACGGTTATGATTTATTTAAACCCGAAAAACCGAAACCGAAACCGAACCGAACCGAATAAAAAATAACCGAAAAAACCGAGAGAATAACCGACATTTTCTTTGGAAAAATGAACTTTTTACCAAAACCGAACCCGAACCGAAAAATAACCGAACCGAACCGAACCGGAATTTATATAAAAACCGAATGGTTATAGTTTTTCTATAACCGAAATAACCGAATCCGAATATAACCGAACCGAACCCGAACCGAAACCCGAATTGGCTACCCCTAGGTGGACCCATGAATGGACGTTTCGATTCGTTCCGTAAAAATATAGCGTTCACAAATTTTGATATATATTTTTATCTTTTCATTCAAAATTTGTGAACGGTATATTTTTACAGAACTAAATCGAACCGAATCGAATTTTATAAAATTTTTAAAAAACCGAATTTTTTTTAAAAAATATAAAATTTTTAAACAAAAACTGAAATCAAACCGTAACGAAATCAAAACCGAACCGAACCGAATAATATACATGACTAATTTGATACAAATTTTAGAATATTCAATAAACCGTTTTTGGACCGAACCGCTTAACTTATGAATCGAATATCGAAATATTCACTCCTAAGAGAACCCATCATGTTTCGAAAAAAATTTGAATTCGAATTCATGGTATGAGTTTTTGGTCTTGTTGTATCCATATTCGTTGGACCCAGAAAAATTTCTAATTGAGAATAATCTTAAATTTATTATAATTTTTTAGAGGCAAATTTAAATTTATTATAGAAATATTTGATAGTTTTTATTTAAATTAATTAAAGAAATTACAATTTTTAATAAAAGGAATGGTGTATATAGGATCCCATATTGCTAATGAATTGGGTCCACCGCTACCCATATTCTTTCTCGTTCCTAGAGAGCACCCGTCATCTGAGTATCCAAAAACCCGTGGATATCGGGTATAAACGCCCCGTACGGACCGTACCCTATCCAAAACTATAAAGGCGCAAACTTGTCTTTCGGACACTTAAGTTAATAAAGGACCGTAATCGTGATCAAGTAAATATAGCAAAAATCGAAATTCTATCCGATCAACATTCGTTGTCGGATCTCAATTGTACGCTCTTAAACTGTAGATGAACCTACATTAAAAAAGAAAATCCGATTGAGATGAGAAGAGAGGGATGAAATTACATGGAAGCTCCCACGGATCGAACTTGTAGAGATCAACCTCGGCAATGATCGAGACTGGAAGCGGAATGGACGCAACTTTCTTCTTAAGATAATGAACCACTAGTTCTTCATCCGTTGGATGAAACCGAAATCCCGGAGGTAACGAAGGATGCGACGATTTCGTACAAGAATTCGCACTCTCCATCGAATTAAAATCCTCTCTCTATATATAAAACTAAACAATAAACAAAAAAGAAAATTGGGAATCACTTCAAGAATTTAGAAAGAGGTTCAAAGGTTGGGATATGAATGAATGTGTTATAAGCAAAAGAGCAAAGGGGTGTGTATGGGAAAAATGGGTGTGTTTCTGTTCGTGTTAGGTTTTTTTATCTTTATTTTGTGTATTTGTGACGAGAGCACCGAATGAGGAAACGACACGTGGTAGTTTGTGAGGGGTGGGGTCCACATTGCGGCCAAAACGCAGCGAATTAGGGGAAGGCAGGTTTTGGAACTGTCATGCCGTTCTTATGCCCATTAACACACAAACCACACACCTTAATTATTATTATTATTATTATTATTTTTTATGTATGATTAATTAATCTTTCATTTAGTTTCTCTTATTATAAGAAATGGATGTATTGTACTTATGGATGATTCAAACGGATTATTAAAGTTAATAGCTTGTTATTGATTTATACAATTGATCGTACCAAAACGATGAATAAGATAATAATTTTATATATTTAAGTTATTTCGAAAGATTCTGGTATGGTATTAGTGTAAGAAATTTAATTTGGAAATATAACTATGGGTTAGATATTTTAATTGGTTCGGCATTTTCAGAAACATTATTAGGATTACAAGTCTTTCATTTTTTTTAATGGTGTGCATGCCTATATCCTCAAATTTAATCATTTTATGTTACCGGTTCACATCATGTGTATGAACACATTATTTGTTAAGTAGAATGTAAGAAATCTGGGGAATTAATTCGAGGTGGTAACAGAAATAGTAAATTTTTGGAATCCAAACGAAAATCGTAATCATAAATAAAACAAAATAAAAAATTAAAGCTCTCGAGGTGGAAAATCCATTTTTTGAAATATTGGGCATGAAAAACACGTGACACAATACCGGGCAACTTGCACGTGTAAGACACAATGAAATTTACCAAAGCAAAAGAAAGTGTCAAACGTTGAAAAATAAAACGAAACCATGGGACATTAATAGAATAAAATTCTCAACCTCTTTTATGTTTCAAAGTAGTGAATTCATTAACGTATTACTTCATGTTTCAAAATTTGAACGACTTTTCATGTGTCGGATTTCACATTCTTTGGACCTATTAAAGATTTATTCAACCTCCCGAATGAAAATTTATTACTAAATATCCAAATATAAGCGCACATGCGACGAATAAATCGGTACGAGATGTATTATTAATTCATGGACAGATGTTTGCAATTTGTAAGATTTTTTATTTTTCTCGCTACAAATAATTTCGTACTGGTAAGCTTTCACATGAAATTCAAAGGATTATACATATATATATATATATATGTCATACAAACTTCATCATTATAATCGTTATTATTATATTTTTTTCTTATTTTGATTTAACTCATATATATAGCTTTCGTTTATCATCAACCGCAAAATTAATACATGTATTATTATATTATATTTTGATTGATTTTAACTGCTTGGAAGTACAATTACGGATGTTTGTAATGGAATATATTATGCAACAAGGCACATTTTATTGGTTACATGGCCTTGGGCTATAAAACTCTGCACACGTCCGAAAAACTCCAAAACAGGTTCAATATTGTATAACCGATTTTAGAGATTTTAATATTTTGAAAGTTTTGAAATGCTAAAGAATTCCTGTGAATTAAAAAATGAATATTCATAATCTATTTATGAAGTACATTTTTGCGCCGAGATCTGAAGATATTCTAATTTCTGGATCGATGGAGTTTGTATGTTATTTGGTTTGGTATTTTTATTGAATTTATAGTTACATAAATTCTTTATAAAATTAAAAAAAAATCCGCTTAATTAAAAAAATAATGCTTAAAAAACCAATGTCGGTTATGTATTATTAACCAATAATCAATAATAAAAGAATGGACGGCCTTACAACTTACAAGATGTCGCTCGGTTACAAGTAAGGGGGGAAAAAACAAAGAACAAAGAGATGTATGTTTAATACAACATATTGAAATGCCCATAAAGAGGCGATCGATCGACCGACCGATGCTAAGATATGAACAAATTCAGCTCCAAATTATGAGGAGAAAAAATCAATTCAATGAATGAAACAACGAATTAGAAAACAAAAAAAAAAAAACTTGTAAAGTTTTCCAAGATTAAAGAAGGGAGAAAATGCGCCTGACTTTGAGAAGAGTGTTGGGGTTGACGTAGCGAGCCATGTGCGTGTACGTGGGGTTCATGCCACGCTGCTTCTCCTCCTCCACTTCCACCAGATTCTTCGTCACTGCTTCCGACGCCATCTCCAGAAGCTCCGACCAATTTCTACGCACGACAAACGAAGTTCCATGAAACTCCAAACCCGTTTTGTTTTTTGTAAAATAAACCCCGATCGACATGTTAATCGGGTTACGCTATTGCGTGTGTTTTACGATGAATTCATGCCATGCATCTAGAAACCCTAATCGGTTTTATGTTTTTTCCTTGCTAAAAGGTTATAACATGCATTTGTTTTTGGACAACAACGGTGTTTTACTACTCTTTAATATATCACGTGTCGAATGATTAGCAAACAACCTATATATATATATACACCAAAATGATTTATCTACGCAGTGAAGAGGAATGAAATTAATAAAGAAGAAGAAAATCTACAGGAAGCAAACATATATAAGAGAGAGAGAGAGATAAGCACCCATTAGATGAATCGAACGTGAGTCCGACGGTGTACTTAGCCTCCTCTAGAGCCCACCGGAACCTCTCGATCTCGCTGGCCGGACGTTTTCCGTCATCTTGAACGGACAGTTGCGAGGGTTTGACGTCGTAAAAGATGGGAATAACCCTTTTCTTGGACTCCATGAGCAAGGCGAGCTCGTGGAGACAGAAGTAGGAATCGCAGTAACGCGGAGAGAAAACGGCGATCCCTACCCCGCAGCCTCGTATGGCTGCGTCGATCTCGCCGAAGAGCCTGTCCCCCGGCTTCATACTCTTGTTGTCCAAGAAAGCATTCAATTTCAGCCTCGTGAAGTGGTTGTACAACAGTCCCGATATCGTTCTTTTCGTATCGATGCCTCGATGATTGATGAAAACGTCACAAGGGTTAGGGCACATTTTCGGCTCGCATATTTTGTATGCAGTAGCTTTTGTAGACGACGCCAACAAACGCTGCATTTGGAGGTATAGACGTACGTATTTATGATATATGTAAATCGATCGGAAGCTATAAAAAGAGATGGAGGAATTCAGGAAGAAAGAGATGCGTTCGTACAATTACAAAAATAAAAAATAAAAAGAGATGCGTTCGTTGTCTGTATATATATATATGTGTGTGTGTGTGTGATGGTACGTTATAGGCTTTGAAAAATGCTAAAGAATATTGAAATTTAGTTATTGAATTTAGGGAATAGAATTCAAGGACGAATACCAAGTTTTCTAACAGTTGGACTTTTGAGAAAATACTCAGGCTTTTCAGTTGACAGGGAAACCGTATGGAACTCTTTTGACTCGCAACTTAGTTTTGTCTTTCTTTCTTTTTTTTTTTTAATTATTATTTTATTCGAATAAACAATTTAAAAAAGGTTGTACGTTGTAAACCCTTCAAAGACGTTCCCAATTTTCTCTCTTTCTTTTTATTTGTTTTACAAGGCTTTCCATTGGTCTTAACTCGTTATATCCTTTGAAACGGTCACCATCTCTAAGCTTGTGCTTTTTTATATATTATATATATATATATTAATATACTTGGGAAGCACTCGCACAACACTAATTTCAAAAAAAAAGTTCATTTATACATTTAGAAATTAAAATTATTTATAAATTCAATTAACACAGTCATCTTTAAAGTAATATCTATAAAGGTTCTTAATTTTTGAAAATACATATTTAAAACTCTATATCCAAATCGTGATATAACATAATTTTTTAAATATTTTAAAAAATTAAATGGTTAACTAATTGTCGTAGCATAATAAATATTTACTCGTAACCATATTTTTTTAAAATATTTCACTATCTATACATTAAATAATAAATTAATAAATTTATAATTAAAATTTTAAGTATAAAAAACTTTTTTAAATATATTTATAATGCGATGTTATGTTACAAACTCAATTATTTACAATACAAATAAATTTCCATCTTTATAAAAATATTAAAAATATATTATTTTTATTTTAAAATTTCGATCCAATTTTAAAAACTATCTATAATAACAAATTAATATCATAAATATATTTTAAAATCAATTGAAAATACTTAAAAAATTTGGAGAAACCATTTGTAATACATTGCGACCCCGGTCGAATCAAAACCTACCTAGTTTGGTTAAGATCAAACCGAGACGATGCCGGTTTACATGTAACCCCAGCCCCCAACATGTAGATATTTATATTTGATAAAAATTATATATTAAAAATAAATACAAACATACATACATATATATATATATATATATATATATATATATATATATCTTAAAAAAAATGGAAAGCCTTTTGCCACACCACTTCGGGATATTACTAAAAATGTTAACAAACCTTCCATTATAACAACAATAGCATTGTAAACTCAAACAATTTATATATACAATATTTACAATATATTATATTAGAATTGGTGTTTTGGATTTATTAAAAAGGAAAAAAAGACTAGGTTTCTTGAAAAAAAATCCAATTCAAAAAAGAAAAAAAGAAAAAAAGGGATTGAAGTTGTAAAAACATGAGAAGCTCTAGAATTGGGAACATTTGCTAGGATAATGCATAGACAGAGAAATTAATTAAAATTATTATTTTAATGACTAAACCATATAAAATCCTTCTGTCCAGACCCTAAACTTATGACAATATATATGTGTTATTTAAAACATTTAATGTTTATGTCGGTTTGGATAATTGAATAATGTAATCGAATTAGATATGAGATGTGTTTGGTTATTGATTATCAATTAAATTTAGGAAGCCGGACCAAACATTATAGGAGAAAAATAAATACATAAATAAATAAATAAATAATTATAGAAAGGGGGGAAGAAAATGCTAAGTCACTACTCTGTTTTGGACATGTGCGAATGCAAACTCATCGTTTGCTGGCACCATAAGCTTCGCATCTTTCCACTAAAGTCAAAAATGTCACTCTCACGTCGCCATTGTTGGCCTCTCTCTCCTTCTCCTTCTTCTTCTTCCTCCTCCTCCGACGAAAGTCGGTCACTGCTCTTTCTCTCTCTCTCTCTCTCTCTCCTCGAAGCAATGGAATCCGCTGCTCTTCTAGATTCCGCTCTGTTTCAGCTCACTCCAACTCGCACCAGGTCTTGCTCCTCCTCCTCCTAATCATGTTCATGTTCATGATTACGTCTTGATGGTTGACGATAGTTATAGTTTGATTTTGTTCTCTGTTTGTGTTTTGTACGGATGTGAAGATTCGATCTGGTACTCTTCTGCGGGAGCAAGAAGGAGAAATTGGCTTCTGGGCTGTTCGAACCCTTTATCTCTCATCTGAAATTCGCTAGAGAGCAGATCTCCAGAGGCGGATACTCCATTTCTCTTCGCCCTCCCTCTTCTCATTCCTCTTGGTTCACCAAATCCACCTTTGATCGGTCAGTGTTCTCTTCGGAAACTAGGGTTTTCCACTCTTCCCTTGCTCTGATCGGGTTTGCTTTTGTTGAACAGGCATGGTTTTGTTTAAGTCAAAATGCAAAATTCAAATATGTGGATCGTTTTTGCTGATCAGTTAGAGCACTTGACGTATCGATTTGAATCGGTTGTCTCAATTACGGCCATGATCTAGTTTATAACATCCAGTACCAGAATTCTTCAAAGAAGATATGTAAACAAGATCTGCGATCGTTGAAATATTGTCATGCTAAGCCATGATTGATCCTCTGAAAGATCCTGATGTTGAAAACAATGAGGGTTTCTGCTTAGTTCAACAATTTATTCACCATTGTTTTGATGTTCTGAGTTTCTTGTTTACAGATTTGTCAGATTCGTTAACACGCCTGCGATTCTTGAGAGATTTGTCAGTTTGGAGAAGGAAATCTCGCAGATTGAGAATTCCATTCAAGCAAATGAAATCACCAACGCTACTGGCCCCGAGCATCTGCATAGTGGTATGCTTTAATCTTTGCATAGGACAAGCTTGATGGGTGTTCCATTTGCCTTGGTTTCCTTCAGTTGGACATTGTTATAATGCATATTTCGTAGAAGTTTTCGGTCCTAATCAACTTTTCTGGCTGCTAATCCTGTAATCAGAGTGTATCACCTCTACTGACATTGTTTCACTTACCTCTAACAGGGAGTACAATCGGCGGAAATGGTAACCTGAGGAAGTCAAATGATTTTTCTAAGGTTCGTACTTTCTCAAAGGGGGGTTTATGTATTCTTTGTTAACTAGCTTAAATGATTCTTTTTCAATTATTATATATCTCGCCCAGTTACAAAAAGAATTCGATGGAAGCCATGAGGGTGCAGAAGAAGAAAACTCCAAGTAAATCTTCATTCCTTCCGCACTTTATGGAACTGATGATTTAAAAAATGGTCTTGCACGTATTGCCCATCAATTTATCTATTTTGTTGTCTCATGTAAAAGGATTCAACTTCAACGTCTTCTTGAAACCCGAAAAACTTTGCTTCGGAGGGAGCAAGCAATGGCCTATGCTCGTGGGGTTGCTGCCGGTTTTGAAATTGATGGTATGGATGATCTCATATCCTTTGCGGATACTTTTGGAGCTTCACGCCTAAGGTGTGTAATCACACATAATGTTTTTTCTTCTCCTTTACTTTTTTGAACCACCTCTGTTTTCGCTCTGTCCATTTGATCAGTTTGCAAACTTTGATATTTTGATTGATATGCAGGGAAGCATGCAATAATTATAAAGAACTATGGAAGAAAAAGCATGGGGATGGTCTTTGGATGGCAGAATTAGAAGCTGTGAGAGCATGTGCTCCGCCAGATATGTCCCTATTAGGCTCCTCTGGAATCATCCTAACAAATGAAGTTACTGCTCTTTCGTTAAATGGGACCGACTCAACGCTATCTAATGCGGGCTCAGACACTAAAGGTTAAACATGAAAACTACCAAATCCAAACTGGAATTGGTTTTCTCTCATTTCTAAAGTCTTAGCAATTTTTTTTTGTAGATGACAAGTCGGGTAATTCAGATCAATTTCCTAAAGCCATTCCGGCATTTCAAGCACCAATGACATGGCCTAATCACATGCCTCAGTATTTCTATCCTTATCAACAGCCTCCTCCATACCAAGGATATCCTTATCCTCCAATGCAACCTCATCCAAACGCATGGAATGTGACATGGCCTCCGAAGAGTAAGTCATATAAGAAAAATGGGACCGAGGATTCCAAAGGAGATGAGTCCAGTGAATCTAGTGAATCTGAATCTGCCAGTGAAGATTCTGCATCATCTTTGGAAGATCAAGGCAAAAGGCATTCCAGGAGTGTTAAGGACTATCGGAAATCAGCAAAAAATCGGAAGAAGGGGTCTAAAACTGTTATAATCCGAAATATAAACTACATTACCCCTGACGGAAGAAATGCGGACATGGAGGACAATGAGTTAACCGATAACATTTCTGTCAAAGAATCAATAGATGCAGCTGTTGGGATATTGGGTAAGGAAAAGAGAGCCAGTGAAGGTTCTGGGGATGATATTACTAAAAGTGCACCTGAAGAAAGACGAAACAACGAGAAGTGGGATGCTTTCCAGAATATTCTGATGAACCACGATGAGAAATCGATCAATGAGGCCACAAATCTGAGGTCCATGGATGTCGGAGAAGAACATTTCACACTCGGAAGCTCAGGTTTTGGCGCAAAATCAGAAGGTTTTCAAATGAAAGAAAAGGTTCCTCTTGATTCCTCCATCGTAACTCAGAGAAGTGTAGAAAATGGTGGAGGGGCAGCGTTTGAACATTTTGGAAACGAAGAGGGTGCTCGTAGAATTCCCAGGATGATGGACTCAACTGACGAATTTATGCTACTACCAAAAAGATCCGAAATGGTTGGAAATGGAAGCAAAGACATGAACTATGTTTCAGGAGCTGAAAAGTTGGTGATCAAGTCAGGAAAGGGAGAAGACTGGTTTTTAGCCGATAATGCGGGGAAGCTGCAAAGCTGCGAGGGCATGTCGTTTGACGGTAACTGCATTTTGACCTCAGAGGGTTCTTGCAATGCTCGAGCCGAACAGAGTAGGAAACAGGAATTTGTTGATGATTCTTTCATGGTCCAGTCCTCTCTTGCTGGTGATTCTCCATATGATTCTCAATGGAGATCAGGCATAACCATAGCTGCGGATCTTGCTCTAGCTTCGAACATGGAAAACTGGAATGCAAATCCCCAGCAAGAACAGCATGGAGCAGTTGACCCGTGTGAACCAAACGATCTTTTCATGATTCTTGAACGCAGTCCCGAAGTTGTGGATAATTCACTGGCAGTTGATTATGGAATCGACTTATCTGTTGTGGAATCCAACGCAAGGCTGTTAAGCATCGGAAGCAAGCAGGAAGAGGACAAGAGCGGAGAGAAGATGGAGAATGCCCTCAAGAAGACAGATCCTCGTGCCAAGTCAAGAATCCCCGGAAGGTCCCTCGTGAAAAACAGAGCGGAAACCGTGTCCAAGACTGGAAAGAAGCCGACGGTAGCTAACAGAACAATGGGTCAGAAGAGCAAGCTTGAGAAGGTAATCGAAAATTCCATTGTTTCTTTTCGTCTCCTTTTATGTTTCCTCGCTCGTTGATGAATTTTCTCGGGTCGAACTCTGGAAATTGTAGGAAGAAGAGATGCGCAAAAGGGTCGAAGGTCTTCTAAACGAGCGACAGAAGAGGATTGCAGAGAGAACAGCCATGGCTACTTCTCGGAGAGCTTCACTGGACAGCACAACAAGCAAACTCTCTGTTACCAGTTCTCGAGCAAGAGCTGTTTAAGAGATTTGGTCTGGTGGTCAAGAGCTATTTATTATATTTTCAATTTATTTGTGATAATCTCATTCGTTTTTTTTATTCTTGATTCTTTGAGCTTTACATTCTTTTTTGTAATATTATTATTCAATTCAATAACCGCGTGATCCTCTGTTTGTGGTTAATAAAGTTCAACATTTCTATATCTGATTTTATATTTAATGTTACATAAATTGACAAAGTCAATGTCACGAACGCGTATAAAAACATGGAACTTGGAGTTATAAAAACTCGCATAGAAAAATCCACTGCTGACTAGTTATGATGTTGTTAGTAGCATGCCATTTTATGTAACAAAATTATCTTATAATCAGTTGATTTTTTCTGTTATATTTTTTTTTTTCAAATTTCTGGGTCGTGACGTTTGAATCTGTCAAAATTCTTTTGGAAGAGAAATTGGTGCAACGAGATTGGAACAAAGCTCTTTTGACTGTTGGTTAAGAAGCTTCGCGACTTCTAGTCAAAATTCAGACACAGAGATTATTCTTACATGATCAGATAAATTTGCTGTTTTTAGAAATCTGTATTTATTGTTTGTTTGAATTTTAGGAAAATGGTTGTGATGTTTTGTCCGAAAAAAATGGGTTTTAGTCATTAGTAAGGAATTTAATTAAGCTTAGAGTTTGATATAGACATTAAGTATATATTCATGTGAAGAAGTGAAAATATGTCCCGACTATTCATTTTGGTTGGTCCAAAAAATTGAAACTTTGAATAAAAAAATTTAAACCCAAGTCGTAAAATATCAAACTTTATAAAAATTCAATTGTTTATTTTTCACACGCGGTTTAAAGTTGGGATCTTTTTATTACATCTTCACAAAAAGTTTTTGATTTTTTTTAAAATTATAATTACTAAAAATAGATGTGAAAGAGGCGAATCCAAGATATAACAGAATGGGTTTAACGGTGAATAAAAATTAATAAAGAGGAAAATATGTGATCAAGGGATAAAAATGTTTAACTAATTAACTCTAAAATGACGGGAGAAAATCCAAAACTAATTAACAAATTAAAGACAGGTAAGGGTGTTCATTAATTAGATCTGCCCTTAAAAGAGACAGCCTCAGCATTTGTCCTCTTTGGCTCTCTCTTTCACGAGAAAGTTCCATCAAACAATGCCGACAACATCTTGATTCCCCCATTCAAACCCTAAATTTGTCCCCAAATTCAAACCCCCCAAATTGCTTTGCACGATCTGTGATTTGCGAGACTGTTTCTTTTTATCGATTTTTTTTTCCATTTTATTCCTTGAGCTGTAAGGCTTTGAACAAGTCGTGTTTATTTGCTGTAAACTTTTGATCTTTTAAATTATTTTTTTAAAGAAGAAAACCGTGTTTTTTTTTAAAGCAAAAAAGCCTTGGAAAACAGCATTATAAAACAGGTATAAAGACTTGGATTCGCCGGCGAAGTATGACAGCCGGAGGCTGTTTCAGTTTCCAAACAATGATTTTCGGTCGGAAATTATCAAGCAAGAGCATGCAGGTAGTTTTCTTCAATCATATACACACACACCCAAAAACATGAAATCTTGTTCATTTGATTCACTCGTACATATACACATACATATATGTATGTATGTATCTTGGTTTTTCCTGTTTTGATGAAGAATTATTGAAGAACCCTACCTGAATAGGGTTTCTTGTCTCCCAAGTCTGTTGCTTCTTGTTCATGTTTTGCCGTTTGAAAACACCGAAAGGGTTCTCAGAAAACCCATCCGACATATGCTAAGAATCTGCGTTTTTTCCACGTTTTCCGATCGATGATATAATTCAGAAGTGGTCTGATCAAGATTTTTTATTGAGTTTTTCTCTTCTTCTATTGAAACGTTTTCAGCCTGTAAAAGGCGGAGCATCTCCTAGGGTTAGCAAGACGAAACAAGACGAAAAGCCCTCTTCTTCACCGCTTTCCTCGTCGACGAAACGCGTTTCCTCGTCGCCCATAGGGATTAAAAACGCTAATAATAAGCAGATAGCAAAGAGCCCGAAGGCCAGTAGCTCGCCTAAATGGACAGGAAACTTCATCCTGATGGTCGAGCTTCGGAAGAAGATCTTAACGTTTCGAGACATCGTCGATCTTCCTCCTCTCGACGGCTCTCCTTCCATACCCGAAGTAACGATCATGCGCTCCCCCCCCCCCGCTCCC